GGGACAAATGGGTAGGAGAGATGTTTTTTGGACACCCAATTAGGTTCCATAACATATTTTGAATGATTGTACCAATATTTATGGATCTTTTGCACGAGTTATCTCTGAATCACGGACTCCAAGGTTCTTTGAGAACAACGAGAAGGGAGGTATTGGCTATAACGATATATATTCTGTCACAGAATAATCAATTAGGGGTGCTATGGAGAGATTTCAACTTTCATCTGAGACAATAAGCCGTTATTTCTCCAAAGGCATACAAACATTTGTTAGCTTGGCCGCTACAATCATCAGGCCAGAGGATCCATCATTTATCAATACTCCAGTAGAAATCACAACTGATCCCCGTTATATGCCTTACTTCAAGGTAACAATTGTTTTATTTAAGTACACATGTAAATATAATGATATTCTAACCCTGTCCAACAAAACTGCATAGGCGCAATTGACAGGACTCACGTTGATGCCCGACTACCCAACCCGGACAATGTGGCTTAGATCGGCAGAAGTGATTCACCAACTCAAAATTTCATAGCAGTATGTGACTTCAATATGTGTTTCACATATGTTATGGCAGGCTGGGAAGAGAGTGCACACGACAGTCGGATCTTCTTCTTTGCTACTAGGAATAGATCTCAAGGTTTTCCTCATCCGCCTTCCGGTATTTGTTTTACATTTAAAATTTTTATATGTAGGTAATCATTGCTAATAATAATGTTGTACTTCAACAGGAAAATACTACTTTGTTGATGTTGGATATCTTATGCAGAGGGGTTATATGAAGTCATTTCCAGACACTAGGTATCATATCCCTGACTTTAAACGAGTAAGTGACACAACTTGTGGAAGGAAAGAAATGTTTAGCAAACGTCACTCCTTACGTGGCATAATTGAAAAAACTTTTTTGATTTTGAAGAAAAAACGAGTCATATTACATGATATGTCATCATATCCATTTCAAAAGCAGATGTATATTGTGGTGACAACAATGACACTTCATAAATTTATCCAACGACATCCTTCACATTCAGATACGGACTTCAGTATGGCTGATAACGATCACCTGAATATATTTGAAGAACCATCAGATACTATGATTGGACCTTCAGTTCCTGAGGAGGACAATGACTATAGTGAATTTGAAGTTAATGACGCTGAGGATGTGGTTGAGATGACTGCACTAAGGGAGTCTATAACGGATGCTATCTATGAAAGCTAATCCACCAAATATAATCCAGCAAGTTTTTTTTCTCTTTGTACAATATACAGTCATTTTGTAGTGTTTTTTTTGTCTTTTTTTTATAAATCTGACAGTCAAATTTTTTGTTTCTTTTTTTCGCAGATATATCACCATTACTTATAGAGATATATCATCATGACTTCTAGGATTTCAGTGACAGATAGATTTGTTTTGTGCTAATGTGGACTACCTGTTCCGTTACTTACTTGCTCCGTTACTTGCATCGCGTCAACCTCATAGCAGTAAGAGACAGTTCTACGGTTATCGCAGGAGTGTTTCAGCTCGTTGTGGTTTCTTCCGATGGGCTGACACTCCCACCTGTTACATTGCTAGCAGTGATGTGAATACGATGTTCTCCCAGGTTGATAGTGCAGCTGATGACCGATGTAGTCAGAGTTTGAAATTGAATATTTTAATATTTCTCATTGTAGTGTACTTGTCTTTATCATGTTTTTATTCTTTCTGGTGTTAACGAGAGTGTGAGAACTGTATGTCATGATATGAAATTCATCTGTGGTGATTTTATGTTTCTGCACTATATGCTTATGTGGTAGCAAAAAACTATTCTGAATAAGCTGCCCCAAATAATTTTACCACGGGCAAGAATGTCATTTATACAACCATAACTACCAATAAACTATTCTGGATAAGCTGCTCCAAACAGCAAGTCAGATTATTCTGATAATCTGTAGATTATCAAATTATCAAAATAATCTGCTTATCAGCTGATTATAAATAATCAACAGCTGTCCCAAACAGACTCTTAAATTTATGATAAATTAACAGTTTATGTATATAAGATAGGATATTTGAAATCACCCTATCCTTTTTTATGCAACAATTGTCATGCTTGTGGGAATTTCTTGCCAACCAAATGAACCAAATGCAGATGCATCCTTGAGTCTCTTCAATGTCCAAATTTTGCGTTGACATCATATTTTTTTTAAAACAATTTTGTTCCATTTATGTTGTCTAATGTATTTATGCTCATTGTTGCATAAATCATATATATGGTTATCTTGTTATATATATATATATATATTAAGGAAACTCTAAGGTAATTTTATTGCTCAAAATTAAAGTTACATGTTTTTAGGAGATTGGATCCCACTACAAATTAAAAAATTTACAGTACTCACTCATGGGGTTCCAATCTCCAGGTGTACAAACTCACTCAAAAAAAGTCTCCAAAACAGATATAAATATATCCTAAAAAGACTTCAAAATAAAAGAAATAGCTAAACTCAAGCAAAGAAGAAGATAAAGAAAAATAGCAATAAACAGACATCCCATCTTAGGAAAAAGGTATAAGGTAGGGCATATTGAGATTGTCCCCCATTAGGGGGCACTTTCAGATCAACATCAGGCTTGGTCTTCAGGATTATCGCTTTAGTTTGTGTGGTAGCTTTGGCAAGGAAATTTGCTGGTCTATTAGTTTCCCAGGGTGTGTGGCTTCATGTGATGACAATACTTGCTGAAAGTTGCTTAATCTGACATAAATCAACACTTAAATTTCAAGGAGGTTCTTTATCATTAGCCAATATGTCGAACAGAATAGTTGAATCCATTTCAATTTGCAAGAATCTCCAATTCATTTTAGCCACAATAGATAAGGCCAACCAAACAACATATAACTCTGCGGATAAAGCACAAACAACCATACAAGGTGAAGAAAAAAAGCATAATAATTTACCAGAATGAGACCTATAGACCCAACCTGCACCTGCACAATCAGCCTTCCAAATACCATCAGGATTTACCTTAATCCAGGGGAAAGATGGTTGTTTCCACCATACAAGAGAGACCTTACAAAAATTTCTGTCAGGTATATCATAACCTAGCCAATCCTCCCAGCTAGTAAAGAAAGATGGCTTAAATTTATGATAAATTAACAGCTTATGTATATCAGATAGGATATTTAAAATCACCCTATCCTACTTTATGCAACAATTGTCATGCTTGTGGGAATTTCTAGCCAACCAAATGAACCAAATGTAGATGAAAGGAACTATGTTAAATATATTTTGTTTATGAATATGATGAGACCAATGTTCCCTGCACTGTGACAGATCCACCCAACCCAATGGAGGGGTTTTAATAGCAGTCTGATCACCGAAAACTGTCCAGATTTTGATAGAGCAGGTGCATCTAAAAAATACATGGTTTACACTTTCCTCCTTCGACTTGCAAAGCAAACATTGGAAGGGGATTCTCAATCCCTTCAATTTTAAGGATATCATCCATTGGAACCAAACCAAGTAAAACTCTATATCAAAAAAGACATAGAAGGGGTAAAACGTTTATTCCAAATCACACCACTTTGTCCACCTTGTCCCAAGTGTAAAGTTTTGAATAGATAGTTTTAGTAACAGAGCAATTGATAGTTTCAGTTAACGGAATTTTATCCTTTTGGGACTTATTGAAAGGAATCTTAGAGATAAGTAGTTTTATCCTTACCTAGCATATTGATGAGCATCTCCAAGTTCCACCATTTATCAAGGTAAAGATCAGCAACAATCAAGTCCTTTTTATCATGTGTAAAGCAAGGAGATAGATCTTCTTTCTGCCATTCATCATGTCAAAAGGATAAACTACCATTCCCAAGCTTCTATTGGATAAAGTCCTCAGCAGTATTTTTGATTTTCAGCATGCCTCTCCAAGATTTGGATTCGCCAATCTTGGAATGAACCTCCAATGGATGAAAATTTCTACAATATTTGCTTTGCATGTATTTGGTCCATAAAGATTCACCTTTTCTAAATTTTAACTATAGATGAATAGAATTGACCTTGCTTTAGTTGTCGAAATCCCAACCCACCTGCATTTAAAGGCTTACATAGCACCTTTCAGCAGGGGACCAAATTCTTTGTTTATGATTCCCAGGCCATAAGAATTTATTAAAAAGCCTTTCAAGTATTAGTTGTGTGCCATATTTGATCCTTAACACTTGTAAAGCATATAAGGAAATAGAGGTTAGCACCCTTTTCAACAAAGTAATCCTCCCCTCAAAGGATAAAAAAGAATTGGTCTAATCTCCAATTTTGCTTTTGATTTTATCCACCATAGCATCAAATTGCATCTGTTTTCTCCTCCCTTTGAGTAAATTAACCCCCAAGTATTTTAAGGGGAGATCACCAATGGTAAAGCTAGTATAATCATGTGTCTATGCCTTCGTATTGCAACTCACATGTTTGCCAAAATAAAGATGGTGTCTCACAATATTAAAGCTCATACCATAAGCTTTCTGAAATGATAAAAGAGTATGATATATTCTTTTGATTGTGTATTTGGAAGCATTAGTGAAAATAATCACATCATCAACATAGGCCAAAAGGCTACCTCCCATTCTAGCCTTATTTTTGTATTGAGTATGGGAATGTTGAATCTGCAAGGAATTAATTAATCTAGAAAAATAATCAAATACTAGAATAAAGATAGTATGTGAGAGAGGACTTCCCCTTTTTATGCCTCTACCAGAAGTGAAAAAGTCATGTGCTTGCCCATTAAGGAGCACCTGATAATAATTGCCCTCCAACCAACCTTTGATAAAATTGCAAAACTTTAAGTTGAAGCTCCTGGATTTAATGACCTCAAGTATAAAATCCCAACAAATAGTATCATAAGGTTTCCTCAAGTCCAATTTGATAATATGATTTCCCCCTCATCATTTATACTCAAGATCACATATTAATTCTTGCGCCAATAAAATACTGTCATGTTATATATATATACTAATATTAATTTATTTTTGCTCAAACAGCCAAACCTGTATACTCTTGTAATAATTCTGAATGATGCATCTGGGAAGCTACTAGACTGTGAATCATGCCAAGTCGGCATACGCCAAATATCACGCGCTACCAAGCAGATGCTCATTAATGGGCTTCCTGTTGTAATAAGAGGTGTCAATAGACATGAGCACCACCCTCGTACTGGGAAGACAAATCTTGAGGCGTGCATGATAAAGGTCGTATCATTTTCTTCGTTAATTTCAGCCTTCTAGCAACTAAAGATATGTGTGTAAATTTTAAAGTTTAGGTTTGGGAGATGTAAATACTGATGAATTGTGTACTATGTTCGTAAATGCCTCTTCTGTTTTGGGAAATTTACATACGTAGCACACAATTCTTATGTATTTACAGATGTCACACCTAAACTTTCATATTTACGTAAGTATCACTTTGGGGCTTTAAACTTGTGCATGAAAAGGCTTATTTCACTTTTAAAATGTTGCAATAGTGTTATCTTTTATATGATATTAAAAATTTGGGTGTTATGTGTGTAAACATTAAAGTTTAGGTGTGAGCTATGTAAATACATAAGAAGTGTGTGCCATGTATGTAAATGCCCCTTGTGCTTTTATAGGATTTGGTTCTGATGAAGCAATACAATATTAATGCTGTGAGAAACAGTCACTATCCCCAACATCCGAGATGGTACGAGCTTTGTGATCTCTTTGGTATCTACGTGATAGACGAGGCGAATATCGAAACACACGGTTTTAATGATTCTCGTAATTTCAAGCATCCTACCTTTGAATCAGCTTGGGCAAGCTGTATGTTGGATCGAGTTGTAGGAATGGTGGAACGAGACAAAAACCATGCATGCATCATGGCATGGTCTCTAGGAAATGAATCTTCATATGGGCCTAATCATGGTGCTCTTTCTGGTATCATGCTTCACTCGCTTCTTCTCCTTTACTTATAATTATTTCATTGACTAAGGCTTATAATTATTTCATTGACTAAGGGGCCGTTTGATATTATTTTTATTTTTTATTTTGTTTTGTTTATGTCTTGATTTGAAATAAAACATGTTTGGATATTTGATTAAAGTATAGTTGTTTCTAAATACTCAATACACCTAAAAGTTGCTTCAAGTATTTTTCAAAACATGTATATTTTTAGAAAAAAAAAATAAAACATGTAAAAAAACGTATTAAATATATTTTTAGCAACAGAAAAAATAAAAACAAAAATAAATGGTAAAATTTATCCCAAACAAGCCTTTTGTGTTTAAATATTTGGCAATCCTCTTAGGCTGGGTTAGAGGAAAGGACCCCTCGAGATTTGTGCATTATGAAGGTGGAGGTTCAAGAACCTTATCAACTGACATTGTATGCCCGATGTACATGCGGGTATGGGATATGGTGAAAATTGCAGCGGATCCAAAGGAAATTAGACCTTTGATTCTCTGCGAGTAAGTTGATTCTATTATATTGTTTTTTGGGAAATTTACATACATACCACACAATTCGTATGTATTTACATATCTTGCATCTACAATTTGATATTTACGCTTGATAATATTTTGGTCTCATAAACTAATGATGGTATTTTTGATATGATATTAATGTTTTGAGTGTTACGAATGTCAATATGAAAGTTTAGGTGGAGTTGTGTGGAATTTTAGTAAATGCCCCATCTTTTTTTGTTTAATTTCTCTTTCATATTTCCTAGTCATTGTTAATGAGGGTGTTAGCTTTGGCCTCTATTAAATAGCTATTTTCTTTTAAAAAATCCAGGTATTCTCATGCAATGGGAAACAGTAATGGAAACATTCATGAGTATTGGGAAGCCATAGATAGCACTTTTGGACTTCAAGGCGGTTTCATTTGGGATTGGGCTGATCAGGTAACTATCTATCAATTTTTTAAGGGAAATTTACATATGTAACACCCAATTCTTATGTATTTACATATCTTACATCTAAACTTTCATATTTACATACCCGATACTTGTTGCTTTAAATATATGCATGAAAATGTGTATTTCACTTTTAAAAAGGGATAGTACTATTTTATTAGAAATTTGAAATTAAACTAATCATTAAAATGAGTCCTATAAAAAAATTGGGGCATTTACATACATAGCACACAATTCTCATGTATGTACATATCTTACACTTAAAAACTTTCATATTTACACACATAACACTCAAATCTCTAATATCACATAAAAAATGACACTACTATTATTTTTTAAAAATGAAATACATCTTTTAATGTTTACATAAAAAATGACACTACTATTATTTTTTAAAAATGAAATACATCTTTTAATGTTTACATAAAAAATAACACTATTACCACTTTTTAAAAGTAAAATATTTTTTTTTGATGCATACATTTAAAGCGCCAAAGTGTTATGTTTAATCGTAGCAATGTATGGAAATGCTAAAACTCATTTTAATGATCAATTTAATTTCATAATGCACATCTTATTTGTTCAAATTGTTGGTAGTTGTTGTATTTCTACCTATCCAAATTGGAGGGATATATATCATAAATTAGGGAGTAATGGTTCCTGATATATTGAGTATAGATGAGACAACAAGAACTTATTACTATTAGCCTATTTCTTCTGTATGGATATAGGACAAATTTTTAAAGTAGATATTATGTATCTTTAAATTAGTTAATTTGGTAATTAAAAATATAAATTAAAGATGGGCATAGTCACCCAGCATGTAGATGATTGGCCTGCCATGTAATTTGCCAGTAACCAGACATAGTGGTGACTAGTTCCCGCACACTAGCCGCCTAGGCAAGTTGGATTTCTTTTATATATTTACAAAAAAAAAAATAGTTGTTACAATAAAATCACCACACATTGCTTAATTCTCATCTGATTTTGACATTCTTGATATCGTTAGAAAGATGAAAGATGACAGAAATCTCTACTACTTTTGTGGTGATCACCCTAGTTGAATATCGATGAACAAATCACATTAATTGCAAATGTTCAAATTTCATAACAAAATAATAATTGGAACTCACTCCACAGCGATAAAATCATCGTACATCGCTCAATTTTCGTTCGATTTTGATGTTCTTGATATCGTTTAAAAGATGAAAAGATTCTATGCAACTTTCGTGTTAACCGCTCTAGGCAAATCTTGATGAAAAAAATGCAACAATCGCGAATGTTCGAATTTCGTGGTAAAATAATAATGAGAAACCCACCCTGCAGCGATAAAATCAACTCAGATCGCTCAATTATTGTCCAATTTTGACGTTCTTGATATCGTTGGAAAGATGACATAATTCTCTACAACTTTCTTGTTGCCCACTCTAGGTGAATCTCGATGAACAAATCACAGCAAAAGTGAATGTTCGAATTTCATGGCAAAATAATAATGAGAACCACTTTGCAGTGATAAAATCAACTCATTCCGCTCAATTCTCTTCCGA